CCCCCTGATGGGCCCTGCTCTGTGCGTGACAGGGGGCAGTGCCCCAACCCCCTGATCGGCCCTGCTCTGTGTGTGACAGGGGGTGGCACCACAACCTCCCTATCGACCCTGCCTTGAGTGTGACAGGGGGCGGTGCCCCAACCCCCCAATCGTCCCTACCCTGAGCGTGACTAGGGGTGGCATCGCAACCTCCTGATCCGCCCTGCTCTGTGCATGACAGGGGGCGGCGCAACAACTCCCCAATCGGCCTTGCTCTGAGCCCGACCAGGGGCTGCACCTAGGGATTGGGCCTGCCCTCTGCCACCCAGGAGTGCTAAGCCAGCCCTGCCCTCTGCCACCCAGGAGTGGGCCTAAGCCAGCAAGTCATAATCTCCCAAGTGGTCCCAGACTGCGAGAGGGCACAGGCCGGGCTGAGGGACCCCCTCTCCCCCCTGAGTGCACAAATTTTTGTGCACCAAGCCTCTAGTATATTATTATAAAATCAATTCCATAGAACACAAAGCAGCATTTATTAGCTATCATATATTTACTGTATACTTATTCCTACATGCACACTTATAACTACAATGATCATGTATTCCCAGATTGTTCTGGAAAAATTCTTATTGCCAATATTTACTTCACTTTCCCCATAAAACACTTGATAAACCATGTATTCCAGTATTTGGTTCTGAAAAAATAATGACCATACCTGTACATAAGATTAATTCAGAAAAAAATGTTCCCCAATGCCAATGCTCACCTATTAATGCACAAAGAATTTACATAGTCATTCTCTTCATTCTTCTCTTCTATTATGGGAATATACCTATGCTATGTAATATTGATATAGATAAAGCATCTTGCATGACTCCCAGCTGAAATTTTCTATTACTTTAAAATAAACATTAGAACTCAAATTGTAAGAATATTTTAAAATGTCATGCACAGACCATGCTGAAAGAATATGAATACAAAGAAAGCAAAATATGGGTATGTTCTTAGAAATGAGCATCACCAAATAAGGCATCATTAAGTAGGAAGATTAATAAGGCAAGGTTAACCATCAAACATCAATAGAAAACAAAGAAAATCTACTACTCACCCCTGTGGCTAGAATTTCTCCATCACGTTCAAAAGCTAAAGCAGTAACCCGAGCAGTATGGGGTTTGAAAACATGTTTCAAATGAAGATCTGCATCTGAATATTTCTTCCGTCCTGCAAAAACTGTGAGCTCTTTTGGATCATAAAGTTCAAGAACTCGAACAACCCCATCTTCAAATCCTACAATAATCTGTGCTCCGGTGAAGCTTATCTTAGACAAAAATTAAATGCAAGAAATCTGAAATTAGTTGATTAGGGAAGTTATACTATGTTACATCTGTATTTTATTTATTAGTAGACTTAAGTCATTTAACAATGGCAGCCCATGGTAATTCCTTCTTCCACTTTCTGGTAACCTCCATCTATTCTAGGATGTCTATGAGATGGGTAAACAATGGCAGTTCAACCACTCATGAGCAAATGTTGGAGGAGTGTCTGTCAATTACATGTCAGGCGCCTACCACCAGCAACTCAAGAATGAGCATACGCAGTCTCAGTCCCTGCTTTCACAGAATGTATGATCTAGTGGGGAAGACATTCTGTGATTTAATTAATAAATCACACAAATGAGTGAGGAATTAAGGACTGAAATAAGTGCTAAAGGAAAGAAACTTATTCCCTGAGAGCATATAACAAAGAAAGCTGACCTAGACTGAGGACTTTCTGAAGGAAGAGATGGTGGAGCTGAGATCAGAAAAAGGCCCAGGAATTAATGAACAGGAAGATGGCAGAAGCACTTCTGGGAGAGGCTGTAGCTTGTGCAAATGTCATGTGTCAGTAAAGAATGGAACTCAAGAAAAAAGTTATAATTTGACTAGAGCAGACTGAGTAAGGGAGCAATGCATCCACAAGAGGCTAGCGAGGGAAATAAGCAGGCACCATGTCACAGTAGGCATAGTCTTCATCCCAAGAGTAGCAGGAAGTCAACAAAAGGTTTTTAGTGGTGGGCTGGGGGTGGGCAGTGACATGATCAGATTTGCTATTTTAGAAATATCATCCTCACTGCTGTGTGTAAGGTAGATCTGAGATGGCCTGATGGAATGCAGGGCGACCTTTGGGAGTACTTTGAAGAGATGACTGCCATACTCTAGAAAGGTGACTGTGGTAACGTGGTCTGAGGTGATGTAGTGGAGAAGAGGGACATAGACACATTTTAGTAAGAAGTATAACGGCCCTATTGGTAATGAATGGACATGGGGAATGAGGCAGAGGAGGGTGTCAATGACAACTAAGATATATACTGAGTCAGGAAACACTGGAAGAAGCCAGGTGTGTGTGTGGTTTGTTGCTGCTATTGTTTTGGAGGGAGGATAGCTGGGGGCAAGCAGAAAGTCATTAATTTAGTCTTGGCTATGTTGAGTTTGGAGTCCACTGGAGATCTCAAAGTAGAGATGACATATCATCTGTAGTTAAGAGGAGAAGTCTGGGTTGGGAATATAAATCCAGCAATGCCTGAAAGTGCTAAATATGCTGTCTTAAAGGCATTCAGGAGAAGGGCAATAGCCTTGGTATTCTCTCTTTAAAAAAAAACACAAAAAACATTTGTATTGATTTCAGAGAGGGAAAGAGAGATAGAAATAGAAACATCAATAATGAAAGAGAATCATTGATTGGCTGACTCCTGCACACCCCACACTGGGAATCGAGCCCGAGACCAGGGCATGTGCCCTGACCAAGAATCAAACTATGACCTCCTGGTTCATAAGTCAACGCTCAACCACTGAGCAACACCAGCCAGGCATCCCTGGTATCTTTAGAGCAGCAGTCGCCAATCTTTCAGATCCCATGGACCACCAGTGGTCTGCAGACCACTGGTTGGCAATCACTGCTTTAGAGCACAGTGATCATGCCTGAGGCCAAGCAATTAGGAGAATATTGGGAATAAGAAAACTGTACCCCACTCAACTCCAGTGGAATGTTGTTAATTCAACAAATACTTACTAAATTTCTAAATGTACCAGTAACTGTAGAGGCCCTGGAGGTACAAAGAGTAGGTATGATTGTCACCATGAAGAACACAGTCTTGCCCTGGTCAGTGTTCCTCAGTGGTTAGAGTGTTGGCCCATGTACCAAAGGGTCATGGGTTCAATTGCTGGTCAAGGGCACATACCTGGGTTGCAGGTTTGTCCTCCAGCCAGTCAAGGAGCATGCAGGTCTCTCTCACATCAATGACTCTCTCCCTTTCTCTCTCTCTCTCTCTCTCTCTCTCCTCTCTCTCTAAGTTGTTTTAAAAAGCATGTGACCTTCAGAACTAAGAACTTTGTGGAAAGACGGGGATAAAGGATGGGAAAAAATATCCTCAGGTGAGGATTAACAACAACAAAAACAACAAACAGCCTATGGAAAGGATATATAATAAAGCAAATCATCTTAGTACATTGTGCTAAGTGCTGTAAGAGAAGTATATACACAATCCTTAACAAATAAACAAAAAAAAATGACAGAGGAAGGAACACTTAGCTGTATTTGAAGGTGGGGTCACAAAGGGCTATGCAGAGGAGATGATGTTTGACCTTAGCTGAGTTATCAAAAATGATGTGGAGTTTTCCAGAAGGCAAGAGAGTATGGAGAAGGGGCATTTAATTCTAGTATAATATCCATATGATCATTACTTGGATGTAAGGCTAAAACAGGAAACATTCTATGGACATCACATAACCATCTCAATAAATGATTCAATTACTTGGGCTGTATTTTAAAGACTTCAGTAATGGTGTAAAAAGATTAGAATAAAGAGTGAGCCAGGTTTGCTAACCCAAATATTTGTGATTTCTACTTGTTTTAGCCTAATCATTATTCTGCCTCTATTCCCTGGCCTAAATTCTCCTTCTGATCTTGATCCCATCATGAAATTCCCCTCCACTCCAGCCATCTCCACATCTACTTTAAGCTTGAAATATTTTGTATTTTATTTCAACCCAAAACAGTAAGGATAAAACATTCCCAAAATACTCCCATGACATTTTAAAAACATGGCTGCAAATTCTTTGACATGCCTCCCATAGAGCGATGGGGTTTAAATCCCTCCCCCTTTAATCTGTGGCTTCCAAGGCTGGGAAGGCCAGCAGCTTCTGCCTTGTCTGTTGGGACACTAGATCTTGGAGTCCCGACCTTCTGTGTAAGAAGTGTGTGACTGCCCTGAGGCCACCATACTGTGATGAAGCCCAAGCCATAGGAAGGGATATTAGGTATGCACTCCTGCTGACATCCCAGCTTAGCCCAGCCTTCAACTCAGGTGCCAGACTTGTAATACAGAAGCCTTTAGATAATTCCAGGACCCAGCCATTCAAGTCTTCCAAGCTGAGGTCCCCAAAACCATGAAGCAGCGATAACCCATCCCTGCTGCCACCTGTCTGAATTCCCATGCCACCTGTCTGAATTCCCACTCTACAGAGTAAGTGAGCAAAACAAAATGATGGTTGCTTTATACCACTACATTTTGTTATAGTTTGTTACACAGCAATAGATAACTAGAACAACTCCCTATCTCTTCCTGATTTTCTTCTATAGCTCTTATCATTGTCTGACATATCACAAATTTACTTGTTTATTGTCTGTCTCTGCCCCTTGTCTCCCACTATTACTGTAAGGTGCAGCAAGGGCAAGTATTTTTGTCTTTGTTCATTGCTACAGTCCTAGAATCCAGAACAAGGCCCAGCACCTAGTAGGCATGCTGGAAATATAAATAGAATGAATGAAATCAGAGCCAGGCAGATAGAGGATATATATAAAAAGTTCTGTTGTGTAATTACTTTGTAACATGGAACTATTACTAATCTGCAGGTAGAATAAAAATAGATTTTCATTAAAACAGGAACAAAATCACAATAGTAAGGTCATCATATGATATCTATCACATTCTAAGTGAATAAACTAACTTAAAATGATTATTATTCTCTGAAATCCAGAATCGAAAAATATCTGTATTTCTAAGAAATAGCACTGTATACTATATTTATTAATAAAATCTAATAGAAGTTCCTTATAATAAACTTACCAGACGAGGAACCCAAGCAAGAGCTGTGCCTCCTTGTTTGAATTTCACTTGAGTCAAAAAATTTTTGCTAGCAAAATCATAGATTCGAACAGAGCCTATAGAAAGATAGTTTTAAAAGAAACAAATGTATATGTAATCCTTTTTTAAATAACCTTGGCTCACTTCACATGTTGAGAATTTTAACAAGAAATTTCATAAATAACTACATCCACTGATAATCCAATAACCTTTCCTTAGTCAAAAATTTCTATATATGCCCTTGCTGGTGTAGTTCAAGGGTTAGAGCATCAGTCCACTCACCGAAGGACTGAGAGTTTGATTCTGGTTGGGGAGCATGCAGGAGGCAACCAATCAATGTGTCTCTCTCACATCAATGTTTTTCTCTCTCCCCCTCCCTTCCACTCTCTCTAAAAATCAATGGAAAAAATATCCTCGGGTGAGGATCAACAACAAAAAAATTTCTATGTATAGTGTTGATTGGCTAACTTATAAACATGTGTAATACAGAAGACAAGTGGGAGTTCTGGTTTAGATGGTGGTGTAGGTAAATGCAGTAACTGCATCCTCCTTTAACCACATTAGAATTACAACCAAACTACAGAAGAACCATCATTCTGAACTGCCTAAAACCAAGCTGAACATAAGTCCTACTACTAAGGATATAAGAAGCCACATCAAAACTGGTAGGGGCAGAGACTCAGAATGGGTCCCACATTCAGGTGTGGCAGATAAAAATCGGGACTGATATTTCAGCTGCAGAGGACCCCCTAAGGAACAAGCAGTCCCAACTCCATCTCAGGCCTCCCAGCCCAGGATTTCAGAGCTAGAAAGAGAAGTCCTCATTAACCTCTGGCTGTAAAAACCAGCTTGGATTACGGCTGAGTGAGACAGAGTCTCAGGCGTTCCCCTGAAAGGGCCCACACACAGACTGACTTGCTCTGAGTTCCAGTGCCTGGGCACCAGGGATGTACAGGAGGGACTGAGTTATGTGGCCTGGAGGTGAGAATTGTAGGGGCAGCTTTCTCCCAGACAGAAGTGCTGGCAGAGGCCATTGTTTCTTTTCTGAACCCTGCTCCCACTGAGCCAGCAGGCAAGTGCCATATTTGAGTCTCTGTCAACTTGTCCCCATTTGCCCCACCCTGGAAATTACCTGAAACCCCACCCCACCCAACTTGCATACCCAACCCAAGCCATTTCCAGTGGCTTTTCCATACAAATGACCTGTCTTGGATCATGCTTCAGACTTTTCTAAAATCTCTCAAGCAAGCAACATCTGACCTTTCCCTTGCTATGTACCTCTTGTAAGTGGCTTTAGGTCCAGCACTAGTGATAGCTGGCCTTGGTTCATAGGTTGGTCTCTCCTGAGCACCTCCAAACCCAGCATAAGTGGCAGTCATCTTCAGGTCATTGTGTAGCTCATGCCAGGAGGCCCTGGGCAGGGTACAGGTTGACCTTGGCCTGCACCTCCCAGGAGGTCTCAGAGCCAGTGCACCTGGTGGACAGCTTCAGTCCACATAAAAGCACCACCCAACCTCCTCCATGAGAACATACTTAAGGGATGGACTCAGCAGGAACCAGAGTAATGATGAAGTCCTGTTCTGTGGGGCCAGCTCCTGTAGAGCTTATCCTCCATGGTGATCAAAGCCAGTCCTCACAGTCAAATGGTGCTAATAGCAATAAAGACTCAACTACAACAGGAGAGTATACGCAGCCCACACTGGGGGCACGCCTCGAGCATCCAGCTCAGGTGAATGGGGAGGCTGTGCCACTAGGCCCTGCAGCACACTCTACCAATCCCAGGAGATGTACCAGCTCTACCTAATGCATAGAAACAAACATAGGGAAGCAGCCAAAATGAGGAAACAAAGAAACATGTCCCAAATGAAAGAACAGAAAAAACTCCAGAAAAAAAAAAAACTAAACAAAATGGAGACAAGCAATCTACTAGATGCAAAGTTCAAAACACTAGTTATAAGAATGCTAAATAAGTAGATGAACTTAGTGAAAATGTCAACAAAGAGATAGGAAACTAAAAGCAGAGATAAGAAAAATGTAAGAAAGCAGTCAGAAACTAAGAATACACTAATTGAAATGAAGAATACATTACAGGGAATCAACAGTGGAGTAGATGAAGCAGAGGATCAAATCAGAGATCTGGAAGATAACAAAGCAGAAAAGAGCCTACCTCCCCCCACCCCCCACCCCCCCCAAAAAAAGGAATCAAAAAAAATTGAGGAGAATTTAAGGAGCCTCTAGGACAACTTCAAGTGTACCAACATTTGCATCATGGGGATGCCAGAAGGAGAAGAGAGATCAAGGAATTGAAAACCTATTTGAAAAAATGACAGAAAACTTCCCTAATCTAGTGAATAAAATAGACATGCAAGTCCAGGAAGCACAGACAGTTCCAAACAAGATGAACCCAAAGAGGTTCCACACCAAGACACATTATTATTAAAATGCCAAAGATTAAAGACAAAGAGAGAATCTTAAAAGCAGCAAGAGAAAAGCAGTTAATTATCTACAAGGAAGTTCCCATAAGACTGTCAGCTTATTTCTCCATAGAAACTTTTCAGGCCAGAAGGAATTGGCATGAAATATTCAAAGTGATGAAAAGCATGAACCTACAACCAAGCAAAGTTATCATCTAGAATTAAAAGACAGATAAAGAGCTTCCCAGAAAAAGCTAAAGGAGTATATCACCACCAAACCAGTACTACAAGAAATGTTAAAGAGTTTTCTTTAAGAAGAAGAGGGGAAAAAGATCCAAACATGAATAATAAAATTGCAATAAATACATATCTATCAACAAGTACTTTAAAGGCAAATGGATTAAATGATCCAATCAAAAGACATACAGAAGGAGAAACCAAGATGGCGACATAGGTAAACACCGGAGATTGCTGCCTCACACAACCACTTCAAAAATACAACTAAAAGACGAAACGGACATCATCCAGAACCACAGGAAGGCTGGCTGAGTGGAAATTCTACAACTAGAAGGAAAGAGAAAAGCACACTGAGACTCAGAGGAGGTGCGGAAG